CTCAGGTCTTCTGCAAGGGACAGGGACGCGCCTAGCCACTACATCACCGACACCGGTGACCTATAATGTAAGAATAAAATATAGCCCTGTACTATCTACAATCTACCACTGAGATAGACAAAGAGATTAACTTGAAATTGAAAGAAGCTTGAGTCGATTGTTTGTTAAATTTGGATTTAGACCACGCCTTAAGTCCTAAAAAAAAACTAGCGTAAGAAAGCAGTGAGTCATAAAAACCTCTAGTATAGTAATTTTCACACAGCCCGTATCCACACGCTGAGAACTTGTTAAATACTACTAACATTATACTTTCTCCAGCAAGCCTTTCAATACTTTCATAGGAAAAAACGGTCTCTATTTCCTAAGCTTTTCACCCGGTATAAATGCAATTTGACAAAAAAAGGTTTTAACAAAGTTGCACAGGCAAAAGATTTTATTGACAGTTTCGCCTTTTGTAGAGATTAATCATAAAAAGGGGAGCTGAAGTGACTCGATTTCTGAGCGCGAGATTCAAAACCCGCATAGGCCCTACACACATTGAATTCCGGAAGACCGGTTTTGTCACTCGCTCGTGTGAGAAATGTACAAATTTAGACCGACATACTTTTTTTAATGCACGACACAGGAGTGGCTTCACGCACGAAGGACTTCCTCTATAGTGTACGGTTCAGAAAGCACGGCGGCCATTCTTTCGAGTGCGCGCGCGCGCGCACGCGCACACACACACCCACACGCACACACACACACACACACACACACACATACTCACACACACACACACACACACACACACGAACACATGCACACACGCACACACATACGCACATACATACACACATATACACACATATACACACTCACGCAGGCCACACGCACACACATACACGCACCCACATATTATACACAAACAGACACACGCATATGCATACACATATACACATATCAAACCGACACACACGCATGCATACACATTTACACATATCAAACCGACACACACGCATATACACGCGCACACACACATGCACGCACACACACATGCACACTCACACACACGCACGCATACACACACAAACACACACACACACACACACACACACACACACACACACACATAAATACTCATACCGTTGTCCTTGATGGGCTGTCAGTAATATTTACGTTGACACAATAGTGTCATTTAATACTAGGAAGTATCCGGGTGACAGATGCTGAGAACAGAAAGAAAATTGTACATAAAAATTCAGAACTTGTTTTTAGCCTTCAGTACCAGTATATAGTTCTTTACTCATAATTTGAGCCGAATAGAAGCCTCGATATTTTGAATTTTATTGGGGGGAAATATAGGTCACCTTGCTTTAAAATGGATTTAGATCAAGTTCAAACACATGAGCAAAATAACTACAGCTCATTCAGCTATTGGTAAGAGGTTAACTATTTGACACTAAACAATGAGAATGGGTGATTGGCTGGCGTCATTGATAGGTCCTACTTCTCTTTTTCCTCCTCATTTTAATTCAGTCTGCCTTGAGTGTTTTTCCCCCTCCAAATTATTTTGTAAAGCATGCTGTAGAGTATGAGTCTTCTTCTTCTTCTTCTTCTTCTTCTTCTTCTTCTTCTTCTTCTTCTTCTTCTTTTTCTGCTTCTTCTTACTGTATTGTCTGAGACAGTCAGTGAGGACCGGGGCAGAGACCGAAAGTTTCCCAGACGTATCTTCTCACCAGAGGTGGAGAATCTGCTCAAGTAACAAAACATCTCCGTCTTGAAAATTAACATCAATAGTTTCTAGTAGCCGAGCTTGAAACAATAGACTGAACAACTTTTTTATCTCATGAAATACCGTTGAGAGACATTCGCTATAGTGTCCGTTTTATTCTCATTTTTGAGAGCTCGGCTATTTCAACCGATTTTTCACAATTTTCTCTTGGTTTGACTCGCAAGGTCTTCGAAATCGCTTAAATTTAAAACGGCCAGCGATTTGAACCCGTTTGCCCTTGCCTGATATATCCCGTGTTGGTCATCTCGGACATGTCTGAAGCAACTCGTCTCCGTTGTAGTCAGAATTTTATGAACGGGAACGTCGGATATCGACAGTGTAAAAAAAAAGAAGAAAAAACATTAAAAACAACAGCAACAACAGCAACAACAACAACAACAACAACAACAACAATAACAGCAACAACAACAGCAACAAAACAACCCTCCCACCAAGAAACAACAAAACAACCAAACCCAGCCTACCAACCAACTAACAACCCCCCCCCCCACCCCCCAAAAGAAAAACAACAACAATCAGAAAATT